TACACAAGGCTCATGAAGAAGTAAAGGCGTTCTGACATTTGTATGATGACCAGTATGAAAAGAATAAAGTTCTTACTGAACAGTGGAATTCAAGGTTTTCCAGTCGGCAAAAACGTATCAATGCGGTAATTGAGATAGTAAAAGCAGAACGTGAGGCATTATTTGATGATATTGATAAGCCTATTGCTGTATACTCTGAATTCTGAATTTTGTAGTTTTTTATAATTTTTATTAACATTTTTTTATAGATTTATTAATTCATAATAGCAATAGGTTCTCTTTAGAAAGTCTCGTAACATATAGATCGCGTGAATGGCTCAGTAGCCGTAACCAGGTTATTGTTAAATTCATTGAAACTTTAGTTCAAAATAATTAAGCTACTGATATTTCACTTCAAGAAAAACTTTTTAAGATAGTTGTTGTGGTTGATTCTATATATGGGGCTCAGCATGGAAAATATGTGTCAGAAATTCAACTTGCCACCTCGTCTATAAAATATTCAATCGCACGATCGAAGATGGTTATTGATATTGATAACCATATTATAAGCTCAGGAAGCTATTATAGGTTTCAAAAGTGGCTAGAAGGATTGTTAAAGCATGAGGAACCATTACCTGAAGGTTTATTATTTCTTGCCTTCGATAACGAACAAAGAGGTCAAAGAAATTATCTTGACCAAGGGTTTAATGCTATTATTTACTATATTGTTACTAGTTTTGTCGTTTTCAATATGGCATCACAAAACAAAATTCAACATACTAACTTACTCTGGATGTATCATTCTCTTAGCAGGTCGCAATATCAAGAAATTTTTGATGTCGGTCCTGAAATGCAAAAAGTTATCGATGAGGAACTATATGCCTATATCGCTGAGGTTCTTGCGTTGTTATCTAAAGAAAGATTGTCTTCTATTAACACTATCGATTCTCTTGTAGCATCCATGCCAACTAATGTTTCTAAAATGAAATCATGTCCAGGATGCAATCTGAGAAACATTGAGAATCGAAAAAGATTATGCCCAGGATGTGGGACGCAACTGCCAACATTAACAGAAATTCAAAAAGGGAAAACAGTTGATAGTGAAACCAATATAATCAATCATTTAACTAATCCTCTTACTTTTAAACATTACAGAATCAACGACGAACAAAGTGCTATACATGTTCCTAGGATAAGTTTTACTCAACAAGTTGCAGATCTGGGTGTTAATGTTCCTGATATTTATATTCCTGACCCGATTAATATCAATCCTAATTCGGTTGCAAACGTTGAGAAAATTCTTTCACATATAGAGGTAATATCGGGTATTAAGGATGGAAGTCATAAGTGGGTGGAGGTGACCTGTGACGGTGTTCTATACTGTTATGCTATCAAATTGAAAGAAAAGTTTCCCTGGCTGGTTCTTATAATGGGACAATTATACGAAGAAATGAATATGCTTCGTGCATATGTAGAATTGAATTGGTAAGTTATTTATATTAAAATTTATAAAAATTTTTATATTTGTTTTTACTTACAAAGTTTTTCATTTTATATAGGGAAATCGATTTAAAATGATTTGCAATATGTCAGGGCTATCGGACCGAAAATCAGCTCGCTTACTTTAAGAAATGCGCTGATCATCATAAATCGTGGGACTCAATTTGTAATATATATCGACAAGCCATGGCGATGGAACTTTTATGGCCGTACGTGAAAAATCAAACTGAACCATCCGTCGAAGGATATCTTGCCTGGGTTAAAGAACAACAGGATTCTATTTATCAAATAAAATATGAGCAGGTATGTTATTATTACGATTATTGCACGGTTCTTATGCAACAATCCGTACTTTTTTCATTTACTTATTGGCATGGGATTATATTTTAGACACTGTGCAATAAAATAGTTACTATACAGGTTATAAAATAATTAAATTTGCATAGAGTTACATTGCTTTCAGTCATATAACGTTAACCCGAGCAAATTTAGTTATTTTTATAACTCATACAATGACTATAACGTATTATTCGATGTGCATTGATGAAAACTAATATATTTTGATTTTTTTATAATAATACTATAAGACATTTATTTACCTACAGGCGATAATTAATTATTGAAAAGCGGTAAGAACTAACAATCCATTTTTAAAAAGGGCCGCAAGAAGAACGTTTTCTCCCATATGGTCTGCAAGACGTCACCCCATTTATCGGTTAATTGAAGTTGCTGATGAAGTTCAATTAATGCAACTTTATCCTGAAATACGTGATATCGTTGAAAAAAATTGCATTGTCTCTCGATCGGGTATTTATGAACAGCATCAGGGGCTTGATGCAATTATTGAAGAGGTGAACAAGGTCTTAAAATCGTTAATACCTCCTATTCCACAACCTCATCATTGGAAAATTGCGGCTCGCAACTGCAAAAATTTTTTTGAGGTAAAATTTATTTATTTTAATCGATTATAATCACGATTATATTGACAACGATTTTTAGCTTAGGAATAACTTATTTCAAGTAATTGGATATAATGATTACGAACCATCGGGACCAAGGACTCGGCCAGAATCGATCATGGAATGCCAAAGATTTTGGGCGCTCTTGCGAAATTCTGAGTTTGTAGATCCATCGAACTTGAAACCTTGTCGAAGCCTAGGTGAAGATTGCGAATTGGATGAAAATTTGAAAAATTTCACACAACTTACGCAAGATGCTCGACAAAAATTTATTATTGAAATGTTTATTAACAAAAATGATTCTTTTTTATTTAGGCCGATACCAATTACAAGAAAAGAAGCTAGGGCTCAAGAAGCTGAGGAAAATATGACAATACCCGAAATTTTAGTAAAAATCGAAACCCTTCTCGAACGACTTGGTGAAAACTCTCAGAAAAAATATTCTAGAATAAAATCAAAAAAAAAAGTGAATTACTCGAAATACTACAAGAAATTAAATCTCTGCTCAGTTTAGATAATGAGGTTGATAATAAAGATATTTTAGAACGTACAGAGACGATTCAGCAAGAATGATGAAAGATATACGACATATTGTAGTTATAATTATGTAATAATTTAGTAATTTTTATTTTTAAAAAAAAAATTTATAGCAAATATTGAAATAAAAGTTTTAAAAAAAATTATTTATTTTTTTTAATATTTATTATACATAAAAAAATTTCTATTTTATTTATTATCTGTTTAAGCTACTAATACAATATATTAAATATAAAAAAAAATAATCGTAACATGTTTAAAATTGTCCTACAAGACTAAATTCAAAGAAACTAAGTTATGGTCGCCACAGCCAAACAAGAATATTCATTGTCACCATGGCAACTACACCCCCACGATTCATTTTCGCATTTCTCTTATTTTCCTTCCTAAAAAAGATTATAATATTCATGTTAATCTATAATGGTAAGAAAATAAGAAAAAAATCTGCTATTACCAAGCATAAACATGTTATTTATATAATCCATTTTTATATTTGAATTGCATATTTTCTGGGTTTGCAATTTTCAATTCATTGAATAAAAGAGTCCAGATGGATATGCCAACTCTGCCTACTTCTTTCTTGTTTTGCTTTGTACAATATCCGACTCCCATCATTCTATTAAGAATAGAATAAAACATTATCAAAAAAAAGTATGAAAGACGTTTATGATATGAAATGATTAATATATCCATTTTTGCCTTTATTTATAATTTTAATTTCAAAATAAAATATTCCACACTGGATAATTTGTTCAAAATATGGCAGCTTTATAATCATCAGAATCTTTAAAAAAGTTTTTAATAAATTAAAAGGTTATGATGATATTCTTTAAATTACAAACGATTAATACCCATTAAATATGTTAGTAAGATTTCTTATTTTCATCTTACCTGTAATCACCGTTATTGCTAAACACCTTTCATCAAATACATTGACTTTGAATACAACGACCTTTCCTGTAACAAATTCCGGATATAACGAGTTAAAAGTTTGAAATTGCATAGAGTTCGGTATATAATATGTAGGGTTGTTGATGAGTTGGGTTGGAGCGGGTTGGGTTGAGTTATTTCTTCACTCACTCCAACTTGGTTTTGGTTCACTCTGGAGCCACTCCAGTTTTGCTTAGAGCTGTTCCAGTTTACTCCAGTTTCACTCCAGCATATTTTTATCTTACTCCAACTTGGGTTAGGTTTACTCCGGAGTATACCACTCCAATTAACAACCCTAATAATATGTCATGGGCTTTGTAATTTCTACAATGAGCATAAGCATATTTATTTAAATGTTTCTGATTTGAACTTGAGATCTAAATTATATACCTATATGCAGTCGGACTTCTCCAAGTGAATCTTTCGGGACAGTTAAAAAAAGTGAAAGTGCGCATTTATATTAGTATTGCTTGCTGCAAGTATGAAATGCGACTTTTTTTATATCGTCACTAGGGTTGCAACTTACTGTCGCAATAAAAGATTTGAACAAAGTTTTTTTTTTTTTTTTTGAACGTCAAGTATTTTAACGATCTCTATGTATTATTAAATTCTTAATTTTATTGGTCAATCTTAGAGCACGTGGAATAATCTGGAAAAGAAATCTAGAACAACCCGATGGATGATCATTACTAAATAAGGTGCGATCTGCAATAACCAAATATGGTATATTCCCGGACTGTAATACGTTACAACCTAATTTGTGAATCGACCAGGGAATGCAAATAAATAGCACAGCCGCAGCATGATAATAGCCAATCGGTGACAAGCCTTAAAACCATTTAATCAGTACGTACAATTGTTCATGAAGTTTGAGGTTTAAAATTGATATTGATTATAACACAATACGGTTGGCAAATTATCAGCTGCGGCTGTGGCCGCGCCATCGATCTGCACTTTTGTGATTCCTAATTTGTACTGATTTTATTTATACTCGTTTTAATCAATCATTGAAATTACATAAGCAATACTTAAAAATAATCAATAAATACCTACCGTTACGTACTTTGTATCGATCAATTAATTTAACTGTCGAATATGCCTTCAAAACTTACCTGTATATTGTACCTCGAACCAGCACACTCTTCCCAATTTTATCAAAGTATTTTGAAATTTTACGATCAATCTTTGAAATTATTCGGTCCAAATAATGCTCATCAATATGATCCACACATTTCTATGACCGGGTTTTTTACTTTATATGATAATCAAAAAATTATTAATGATAATATCAATGCAAATCATGATCAAAAAGAATGCATATCTGCTTATGAGCAACTTGATCAAATAATTCAATTTATAGATAATTTTCTTCATAACCATAAGATCACTTATCCACTCGTCAAAGATATCCTTTATTTGAAGCCTACATCTCTTTTAATTCCTTTACAAGTATGTCAGGCAATGCTTGATCTTGTTAATCAACTTTCTTGCTTATCTTTTGAAGAATCAAACTCAAATATAACAACCAGTGATAATGGCATTAAAACTATCATTCGTCCAAAAGCAATAGATCATCTTTCTTTGGCTTATTCTAGGAATGGTTTTGTATCAAATAATAAGATGATGAAGTTAAAACGTTTGGCGAATAAAATTATTGCATTTGATGAGGCGAAACAACAAAAGTGTGGTTGGGATATTGTGATTTATGAAGAACTTGAACATAGCACTAAGTTAGAAGATAAACATGTTTTTAAAGAAGTTAAAAGGTGGAATATATTTTAAGGTTGATTTAACCATTTTATTTTTATGATTAGTAAATTCTGTAAAATTGTTTGCTAGAACGACTTTCTATTTTATACTATCTTAATAAATTTATATATCAAGTATTAAATATTATTTAAGACTCTTTAATATTATCAATTACAGTTTAATAGTATTATAGCTTTTAAGTGAGGTTTTGAGTATAACCAAGGAATGTACTCGGAAAGTTTATTGAGTTTTCTTTTAAAGGTTATATACTTATAAAGCTGCGTGATGCAATTTGTTACATGAGTGCCGTCAATAGAAAACCTGCAATCGGGCTTTCAATGTACAGTTTGCTTTCTACATGCCGTCTATGGACAATCTATCATCGGATATATTGCGCCGGATATATTCCTACTCCTCCTGGAAGTGAATGTGAAAATGAAACACCTAGGAATAAAAAAGTCACCATATAATATATCCGGCACAAATATTATTGAATGTCCGATGATAGATTGTCCATAGACGGCAAACTGTATATTGAACGCCCGATTGCAGGTTTTCTATTGATGGCACTCACATTGGAAAAAATTTTAAACCACAGGATATTACACATCACATAATATATAAATAATATTTTAAAAATTAATCTACATTATTTGTCATACCGTGTACTGTATATACTTTGGCGAACGGAATAAAAACTCCGCAGTCCCGTAATGATGCATTAAATTTTGGCACTCGGATAATGTGTACCTATATAATAAAAAAGTAGTAATATAATACCGAGTATTTAATAGTTATCAGGTAGAATGTAGATGATATTGTGTCAGCGTCATTTAGTGGCCATTTGATTAACTCCGATCATGCCGCTTCGCGGCATGATCTGAGCTAACAAATGGCCACTAAATGACGCTGACACAATATCATCTACATTCTACCTGATAACAATATTATCCGTGAGTGGTCATTGATCATGTTACTCATATTAATTATCATTAGGGCTAATTTTGATTATGATCTAAATAGCAGAACTGATTACTTATAACTCTGGTCAAATTTGTCGATCGTTTGACCAAATTCAAAATGGTTTGATTCTGAATCTGGCCAAATGATCTGCAAATTTGACCAGAATTATAAGTAATCAGTTCCGCTATTTAGATCACAATCAAAATTAGCCCTAATGTATAAATCATTGTTATTTCATATAAAGATTAGTTTGTTGATTATATAGTTTCTTGGGATTTTTTCTTTTCTTATTCTTTACCCCATTTTTTATTCTTTTTTTTTTTTTTCTTTTTTTACTTAGAGACTTTTTTGATATGGATTTAATATAAGCATTAAAAAAAACAAAAAAATATATGCTTATTTAGTAATTGTTATATTTAAGATTACAGTATTTTGCACATTGATTTTTAATATTTGTTAGAAGCTAAAAATGGTTTTATAGTGAATTTTTTTAAGGTATACAAATATAGTATTTAGATAATAAATTTTATTAGAAAATAAAATATTAACCTATTTTATTTTTAAATTTATACTTGATCAAAATCTAATATTTATATTTTTTCAAAAAAATATCTGTAATAAAATAATAAATCAGAACTCTTATTTAATTCTGAAACTTCTTAATATTTTAATTTTTTAAAAAAAATTTTTTTTAAAAAAAGAAAATTAAAATAAGGTAAACGAAAATAGTTAGTAAATTTAGAATTTATCAAAATTTTAACAATAAAACTTTACTAAAATATTGCTAATTGTATTTTTGCTTTAAATATTATATAATTCTTTGTCTATCTAAATTCTAAAATAAAAAAATAAGTTAATTCATATTTGCACAACTTATATTAATATTGAATAAATTTAACAGTCAGGTAGTAAAATAGTGAATTGATATATTAATATAAAATTGTCTATAATAATAATTATTAGTATATATATTGTAATATATAATTATTTACTATTCATTTGCTTTGTATCAAAGAATATTTATAATTTGTTAATTAGAATCAAATATTTTTTATTTTTGATTTTTTTTTTATGTATCAGCAGCCTCACCGGTATCTTTATTAAATCAAAGTATATATATACATATATTTAACTATCTAAGTTGTAGATCTGACATTTCCCAGCTATCTCTATAGGCACCCAAGAACAGTCTGCCTTACTGGTTAAGTTTGTCCGTATCAAAAGGTTGCACCAAGCTAGCCATTGAAGTTATATCAAAATAGCTTCATACTATTTACAATAAAATCTTTAATCGTAGCAAACCAAGTATTTCCTTTTCTGTTAACTTTCTCTTCTTTACTAATTTCTTCTTTTTTTTTTTAATTTTTCCCTTAGTTTGTTCTTGGCTCTGACTATATTTTTTATAATTCACATCTGACTCCTTTCTGCTAATAGTTGTTTTTCTATTTTTTGGTCTCTTTTCCTTTTTCTCTTATGAGTTTATTCCATTTTTTTTTCCTAATTGTTAAGGAATGCGTATTTTTGTTTTTAGATAATTTCATAAAAATAATTCTAGGCTGGATTGACTGCTGTGTCAAGGTAGCTTCTGGTTTCTTTTAAAGTTTCCACTAATTCAAGAATTTTCTTTGTGATTCTGTTTTTAATCAGTCCTTTAAGAATACCAGCTCTCGTCTTATTCTTTTCTTCTTTCATCGAATCTCAAAGAAAGCTTTTAAGTTGAGCCTTATTAAGATAACTGCAAGTTTTTTTTTGAGAGAGTTGTCCAAGCCAAGTTCAATGCTAGCTGCTCTGCTTCTATCTACTTGGTTTCATATTTCTCACATGAAGTTAAATGTTCTTGATTTTCTTCTACTCCTTTTGCACATAATCTACATATTGGGCTGTTATTTAAATCTGGTCTTCTAGTTGCCAAGGTTTTAAGAACTGGAAGTTTCTCATATAAGCATTTGACTAGCACTCCTAAACACCTATTCTTTTTTATACTTGTACATCTTACTCCATTTTGTTTTCTAATCTTTTTCCATAAAATATGCCAATATTGAAATTGTCTATTGTCATTAGGTTCTATTTTTGTAATTGCTGATGTAGATTTTTATTTTATCTCTGTTTTGAGCTTGAGTGTTAATTGTAAAAATTCTCTTGTAGGCACTTCTACTATTGTTTCTTCTCAGTATAAAGAGATATTTAATTCTTAAAAATGTTTATCTATAATTCTTTCTCTATCTACTATTCTAGATCCCATTTTTGTCAGTTTATCCGCTATATCATTCTACCTATTTCTACTATATCCTTTTACCTTTTCTAATTCTAACTATAATTCCTTTATTTTTATTATATCTATCCTTTAGATTGTAGTAAAACGCAGACAAATTTGCCTATATTTTTATATTTTTTTAGCTTTGATTTATTTTTTTAAAAAACCAAAATATTTAAATAAAACTTTGTACAATTATATTTGAAAATAAGGATTACTTTTTGTAATATTTATTTTTAAATTATAAGAAAAAATTTTATATTACTTATAAACCAAAAATATACAATTTTAAAACTAATTTTTAAAACAAAAATTTTTTAGTTTATCTATAACAAACTTTTTAAATATTAATTTTAGATCTATAGTTCACTAGTCAAATATAAGAAATTCGACCACTAAATGAAATGGCTGAATCGAACTGAATTCAACTGTTGAATATTTGGCTGATATTATACCAAATAATAAAGTAAATCAGTAGCTAATAGACAGTTAAATACTAATAAAAATTTGGCAACCAAATTCAGGTCGAAAATTTCAATCAACAACTGATTGACATAATAAAATCAACCTGTAATCAATGACTGAATACTTATAAAATTTAGAATAAAATCAGTATAAATTCGATACCCGAATTCAGGTTGATTTGGCTATTTCATTTGGTAGTTGATTAATTACAATAAATCAACTTCTAAGTGACCACTGAATACTTAAAAATTCAGAATAAAATCAGTATAAATTTGATGGCCGAATTTAGGTCGATTCGGCCATTTCATTTGGTAATCGATTAATTACAATAAATTGATTTATAATCAACTACAAAATACTAATAATTAACAACTATTTACTAATAATATTTGGTATAAATTCAATAGCCAAATTCAAGTCGAATTGGTTATTTCAATTGATTGTTGATTAATAATTGACAATCAATTACTAATAACATTTGTACAAATTGAATTCTGGATAATTTTAACATATTATAAATTTATTAAAACAAATTATATACAAATTTAAGAAAAAAGAAAAAAACAAAGTAAAAAAAAAAAACAAAAAAAAAGAAAAGAAAAAGAAGCAAATAAAATTTGAAAAAAAACAAAAAAAGAAAGAAGAAAAAAAAATTAAACCCTTCATTTTCTTGAAGGTTCCTCTATAGTATCAAAAGCTGGTCTTTTATTATGACTTCTGGCACTTCTTCCTTCATCATAATTACCCTCCATTCACTATTATCATCAGAACTCTCATCCTTATCCGCTTCTAACTCATTCTTTTCATCCTCTTCTTTCTCTTCCTCCTCTTCCTCTTCTTCCTCCTTACCATCATCATCATCATCACAATATTCATCCTTTACTGCTCAATTAAACAGATTATCAGGTCAAAGAGCCATCAACATATATGAGCTTCAGCAGTAACGTTAAGAATTAAATTGCACAGCTGTATCAAAAACACCATACAACAAATCAGTTAACTATTAAAATAAAAAGAAAAAATCAACATGCAAATAACAAATTAATTAAATTAGTATTCTTGTTATTGCTATTCGACTGATGTTCAGTATGTCGAATAATATGCTATATATATCATTTGATATACTGAACATCAGTCGAATGGTGATCGAATTTTTGCTAGTGTAATAGAAAAAAATTTTATACCTTTTTTAACCTCCAAGCCAAGCCATGGATATTAAGATACAGATGACCTCTTTTGTTTATTTCTTTACCAGGGTCTGACATCTCAGGTGAATGGATATAATTATTGGCTAAAACTTTGGTTAATTTGTTCATGTCATAGCTGGAAAGTTGAGTATCCTTCTTTGAAT